GTCGGTAGGTCGGTAGGTCGGTAGGTCGGTAGGTCGGTAGGTCGGTAGGTCGGTAGGTCGGTAGGTCGGTAGGTAGGTCGGTCGGTCGGTCGGTAGGTAGGTAGGTAGGTAGGTAGGTAGGTAGGTATAGGAAGGCAGGCAGGCAGGCTGTCGTCATAGTAGGGTCATGAACAAAAAGCAGTCACAACGATGACAAGAGCAAAGACGCTGTATAACAGTGTGCTGACAAGTCCAGACCTGACCCGAAGAAGTAAAGCTCCTAAGCATTCACCCTAAACCCCTAAACCCCTAAGGCCCAAACCCCTAAACTCCACACATCCTAAACCATAAGTAGTTAGGATAAAGCTGCTTGTAATATCATTATGTTGTTATAGTACTTGCAGTCGAACTACATCTTTATGTTTTGTATGTATGTATGTATCGATGGATGGATGGATGTATGTATGTGTAGATATTACACATACAATATCATGTTTCTGGACCCGGCCACAAGCTCTGCAGGAGGCGCGGCACAAAGCCGTGCAGAGTGCTTCCCAGGACACGTCACTTCTTCTTGCCGGGATCGGGATCGTAGAGTTTGGAAGTGTAGGGTTCGAGATTGTTCCACCATCTGGGGAGCTTAGGGACGTTTTGCGGTTTACATAGGGTGACAAGATACGATGGGCGTGCTCAGCTAAAGTTTTGTGACTTGTCTGGCTGCTCAGATTGAAAAGAGTCGGCAGCTGTCATATGCTTACCCTCCATGGTTTAGCATCTATGGCATAAACCCTAAACCCTAAACCCTAAACCCATTTATGGTTTAGGGACCCTGCAACAAATTCAAAGCCGAAGCGTGGACACGATCCCTTGCCAAGAGTCGCCCGGAACGTTCGAAGGTGGCGTATGCCTAAGCAGAGCTTTTACTTAAAACATGGCAACTTAAAGGATCACGGGACTTAGTAAGTAGGGTTATAACTAAGGTAGCTATACTTATAACTTATAACCTTAATTACTAAGAACAACCCCTAACCCCTACATCTCAAACCCGCCGAGCCCTGAACCCTAACACCCCAAACCCCGAACACTGACCCCTTCACCCAAGACCCTGCTGGTGAGCTTCAGGATCGCGAAAAGGCGCAGGAAGAGCTGCTAAGGCCGGGTCAAATTTTGCAATAGCGTTTGGGGCTTTGGGACTCTGGGATACCTCAACCCCCAAAGAAAGCCGGCGCACGGTTTTGCTTCGGGCTTGCGGTTTAGGCTCGAGCGGCGTAGTACGACGTATTACGCGAGGGTTTGGGCCACCGTATCCCACTGCTGCGTTTCGCATCTGCATGAGAGCGAGACATCCGCCGTCAGTCTCCTGTCACTTTAACCTGAGTTTTTTGAGCCTGGGAGTATTCATTTCGGATTTTGGGACTGCTTGCTCGGAACACCGACGAAAAACAGTGTAACTCTAAACCCTAAAACCCTAAAACCCTAAACCCTAAACCCTAAAGCCCTAAACCCTAAACCCTAAAAGAAAAAACCCTAAAACCCCACAGCCTTGAACCCCAGGGCCCTTGGCAGCCGGGACATCGACTTCCTGATGTCCGCCATCGTGCAAGGCATCTCGTCGGTTGCGAGTTAGGGCTTTGGGTTTAGGGTTCTAGGGTTTAGGGTTTAGGGTTTAGGGTTCTAGGGTTTAGGGTTTAGGGTTTAGGGTTTAGGGTCGGGTGGGTTAGGGCGTATGTTGAACTGAAGCTGCAAACCAAGATTCTTGACCCGGATTCATCCCCAAAAGACCTCACACTCTACATGGGGTTTTCAGAAAATAGGGGACCCTAATATAGAACCCTAAATAGTAGGATCCTTATTATAAGGACCCCCAAAAAGGTACCCCTTATTTTCGGAAACCTCCGCATTGCGACGATTGAGGGTCAGAGCCTCCAATCCCGTAGACTCAGGACGCCTGAAAGTATTCCATTCCCAGGGACTCCAATACCCCTTGATTAAGGAATATACCTTAAATCTTATTAGGGATCCTACTATAATTTAAGGTATTTTCCTTAATTAAGGGGTATTGGAGTCTCTGGGTTAGTTGCACCACCAATGGCAACAGCAGAAGCAACAGTCCGACGACCCACTGCCGCGACCACGGTTTCCACATTCAGTAGAAAGTACTGGTACATGGGAGTTTCAGAAAAGTACCTTATTTGGGGGTCCTTTTCGTAGGTATTATTTGGGGTACTATATTAGGGTCACCTATTTTCGGAACTCCTCACATGCCGTTTCCACAGAAGGATGGTTTGTGGGATTGCGGGCTTGGGGGTTACGTGCTCCAGCTGCGACGGGTTTGACTATTTGACAAACTCTCCCTCTCCCTCCCTTGAATCTGAGCTGCCTATAAGCATCCTCTAAATGCGTCGTATTCTTCGTTACATATCATAACGCTCCACAGCGCGACAGGTGAAATGCTCCGCCTCGATGAGAAGCTCATGAAACAAGCCGAGGATGCTTTGGCATCCAAGCTGCACCCAGGATCGGATTCGGGATTGAGGGTTTAGGGTTTAGTTGACGGGTCTCAGTCTCTACTTCCGGGATTGCAGCTGTCTTTCAGGTAGTGTTCACCACCATTGACGATAGAACAGGCCCCAAACTGTTGCCACCCCTCGACACGACTAGGGTTTCGGGCGTAGCCTTTTGTAGGGGCTTAAGGGTGTAGGGGTTTAAGGGTTTGAGAGCACTAGGAGTTTTGGGTTTGGTGGATTTAGAGATACCCGGCCTTACTGAGGGCTTGATACAGGGGCCTTAGAAATTACCTATACTATTT